TTTTTTCCTTACCCATTTGGCTCAAATAGTGGTTATCTGTTTCTTAAGTAATAGAATTTTAAAATCACTATAACCTTTGTGAGGTTTTATTTTCAGGTAGATTTTTATACTATTGTTTCAAAATCTTTAACCGTTACTGGCCTGGTTGATTTTTGTTGTTGTTGTTGCTTTCCTGAATCAGTTTTTGTAAGTTATATTCTTTTCTATAATGATCACTTGTTTTCTGTGAAGTTTTAATTTCATTGTCATGAAGTTGTTCAAATTATCTTTTTACTAGCTTTAAAATCTGTTGTGTACATAGTTTTGCCCCTCTTTAAATTCATGTTATTTGTGCTTTTCTTTTCTTTCCTAAGTATTTAAAAAGTTTTTTAGTGTTGTTCATTCTCATGTTTAGTTTTATTTCTGAGACAGGGTCTTACTGTGTAACCCAACCTGGCTTCAAATTTACTATCCTCTTGCCTGAGCCTCCCTAGTGCTAGGGTCACGAGCGTGATATAGTACACTTGCTCCTGTTGTCAATTCTAAATATTTTCCAACTTCAGTTTCCAACTTCAGATTTTCCAACTTCAGATTTCAGTTGGAAATCTTTGTGCACTCTTATTCAGAATGTGCTTTTAAAAATTCATAGCATTATATTAATTTATTTAGCTATTTTCAGTTTTATTTCACTGGGAAATTGTAAGTTATATTCTTATATGTCTTTTTTGGTCATTATTGAAATATGCTTTATTGTTTGTAGTGGGTCAGGGTTTTGTTGTTGTTGTTGTTGTTTTTTATGTATTCGGTTGTTACAGGATTTCACTGTGCAGCTCGGACTCATAGTGGTCTTCCTGTTTTCAGCTTCCCCAGCCCTGGTATGGTATACAGACGGATACCCTTTTGCCTGGACTCTGGGGGCTGGGCTGGTATGGCCTGTGGTGATGGGGATCGAACTGCAGTCCCTGCGCTTGCCTATGCAGTGCTTTAGTCTGCTGTGCTATTTTGCAAGCCCTAGTAGGTCAGTTTTTATGTGTTCCATGCTTGCTTGAAAAGAATACATTTTTGTAACTTTTGGTGTAGGTTTTTATGTATCCCCCCATGAATTAAAATAAATTTTTTAATATTCTTAAAATTTTCTCTGTTCTATTATCTATTATTTCAAAATCTTTATTGTGATAAAGTTAACTTTTCCTTATAGTTATCAGTACTTTGTATAGCATTTGTTAGCAGTGTTGTTCAGTGTGTGTTATTTGGAAATGCTTTCTCTTTTAGAGTATTTTTCTTTTATAATTATGTTGATACATTTCATTAAAAATCCTAATAATTTTAGCCTGAGGATCTGTTTTGACTAATATTACTGTAACTACCTAAGTTCCTTTTGTTCAGTTTATACATAGTGTATCTTTCTATCCCCTTATTTTTTGAAGGATGTGCACAAGGACCCTGAAGTATACTGCCAACCTCTGTCCCTCTGCTTTCTAACTTTTTGGACCCATGTGTTTTAAACAGATTATTGTTGATTATTTTCCCTCATTTACTCATTTTGGTTTTGTTTCCAGTGTAACTCTTCTGGAAAAATAAGTAAATTTAATACAATTATAAGTTTTGTAATTATCATTATATATTTATTTCCAGTATTTGATCTTGTGCTCTTTTACTGTATGTTTTTGTTTACATCCACACCTTTGTTTTTCTTCTTTTTTCCCCCTGCCTTTGATTGTGCTGGAAGTTTAACTTTATTTCTCTTCTTTGAAGGTTAGAGTCTATTTTAAATATTTTAATGTTTTTCTTTCTTTATTTTTTTATTTTTTTAGGGAAGGGTCTACAGGGTGTTCAGGGTCTCACTACTAGACTGGACTTGTAATGATCCGCCTGTTTCACAGCCTCCCAAGAGCTGGGATTACAGGTGTGCGCCCCCATTCCCAGTCTCAGTTGCCGGCTCAGCATGCCCCAGGGGTGGGGCCAGCTTGGCAGGCCCCAGGATCAAACCCTTGGCCCCTGTGCCTGTTTGCAGGCACTGTAATCCACTGAGCTATTTGGCTTACCCATGTTTTTCTTCAAAAATTATAACATTTATTCTTTGAAAATATATAGTCAATTTTTCTACTACATTCCCAATTAAAACAAGAAATTTCATTATTTCACATGATATGTAAATTTTAACTTTTTGGGTCAAAAACCTAAATACAAAACTGAAAAATACAAACTATTAGAAGAGAACAGGGGGCTGGGGAGATGGCTCAGTGGAATAAGCACTTCCCTGGCAAGCGCAAGGGCCTGAGTTCAATCCCCAGTTCTGACACACACACACACACACACACACACACACACACACACACACACAGAAGAGAACAGGGGGCCTGCCCCTTAGCTCAGTTCTTTAAGTGGCTGCCTCAACAAAGCAGTCTCAGGTTGCTGTGGTT